CCCCTTCACGTACCTACTTACGTACACTGTATGATAACTGCTGTAACTGCTCACTTGTAGTGCTTTTGATACAAAGCCATAAGGTGTGGCTGTTCGAAATATCATTTATTAAAGACCCTCTAATATACCTAAATGACAGATTTGCCGACCGTTTCATACACCTCAACTCGTGAAATCCCTACTGCTTCCATATCCCTGAGGCCTGAAAAAGGTAGCCCTTTCAGGCGGAGCCTCCCCGCAGAGACCATTACAGGGAGCACCCCCGGGCATGTTTCATCAGCCACTTGATGTACTGGTAGGTGAGGATCGATGTGGGCTTCAAAATGTCTGGGTGGCTGAATTAATTTAATCCACCTCTTTTAAATATCACATACTTTTACCAATACTGTCTTTCAAGAGTAGAACTCATGTATATTTATTGGGACCCGTCCACACTATGCCGCAAAAATGAAAAAACGCAGTTTTATTTCTACGGTTACGTCTACCATCGATACTACCCCGTCACAAAACGGAGCTTTTCAAAAATGCTCTTCAAACCGGTGGAAAACATTCTGAAAACGGAGCTTTTGAAAATCGACGGTGTCACGATAATCATGTACTTTCTCTGCCCGAGTTTTTCTCTCCTAAAAAACCGGTGATGTTGCGATTTTAAATTTCTCTGGCGTAGTGTGGACGAAAAACATTTTATACGTTTTCAGAGTGAAAGCGCCGTTTTCTATTTTCTCCCCGGGGCATAGTGGGAGGGAGCCTTGTAACCTCTCACTAAGAGTAAAAACAACCAAATTGAAGTAATTTTATTCTAAATTTGCAGAAATGACTAATTATTTATAATTTTCGATTTCCACAAAAATCATTACATAGTCACGTTAAGTGACTAATTTTAAAAACTCTCAAATTGCACCATTGTCCACTGAGAGATGAAAATTTACACAAACGAACATAGGCTATTAGTTAAATTATTAAAACCGGAACCTCTAGCAACTAAATTATTGTATGGTTCCAGGAAATATCCATACCTACCCCATGGCGTGTTTGTGGTGGGGCGGGGGGGGGGACGGGGTGGGGTTGGGGGTTTGGGAAGAGGTAGCGGGGTACGGATGTTTTTCTGGATTAACAGATTCCAACTACAGCCTTCCTTCCTTTTTCCATAGCTTTACCATGTATGGAAAAGTAGATAGGAGATTCTCATCCTATTTCGAATTTCCCAAGCCCGACTAGTCACATCCG